CACACACACACACACACACACACACACACACGAATGCATAGGATACCCCTCCCTTGGGAGAACATGTTTGAGTTTTGGCAGAAATCATTGCAGACAGAATGGTCTGGCTGGGAATTTCAATCTGTGGAGAAGTCCAGGAATTTCATCAGGTGGGAATAGTGGAGACAAATTTATTTCAATAGTTTTCAAATCAGAGAAAAAGAACGGGGTCCACTCTGTGCTGTTCTCTTTTGCAGCCAGGCAGAGGGAGTGCCCCCAGAGCCCCAACACCACCAAGCCTGCCTTCCTGAGGCTCTCGGATTGCCTGCTGACCAACTACACGAAGGGCGTGAGGCCTGTGAGGGACTGGAGGAAGCCGACCACCGTGTTTATTGACGTCATCGTCTATGCCATCCTCAGCGTGGTAAGCGCTCGGCCCCCACCTGCGACACCCCCTACTCTGAGGTGGACCTTTGGGGGTGGAGTGACATTTATGGGAGAATATGTCGCCCCTGAGCAGCACTGTGGCCCCCACGTACCCATGGTACCTGACGTCTGGAATCTAGGACTGCACTTGGGAGGGAGAGGGTCCCATGAGCAAGTTGTCCAGATCTGAAAACCTGGCCGTGTCCTGTGATTCTGTCAAACCACCACAACCAATGGGTTACTCTTTCATTTCTGAAATATTATTTTCAAGTTATTAGATGTTTATTCTTAAATGGTAGACAATCCCAAATAAAGCAGATGATCCAATTAAGGTTTTACCTGTCATTAGGCTATTACATTTGCTACTTGTCACTCTGTAAGACAAAGCTTCTGAAATGTGTCATGCAGATGACATGGGAGTGAATCCAGTGAACCATGCTGGACCTGCTAAGTCCCCTCAGGCTGTCTATTCATCCCAGTGTCCCACACTAGAGTCACTGTGGACCGTGGAGAAGCCAGGAGGCTGGGAGTGTGGTCTGTGACCTCTGTGGAGTTAAGCTCCTGTCTCAACGGATCACTTTATATAATAATTGTGTATGTAATTCTCAACATTAACGTTGTTGCTAAATGCCATCGAGTTGTAGAAGGCTCATAGCAACCCTATGAATGAAAGACTTGAACACTTGTATAACTTTCGTTTCTCCAATAGATAGCATTTTAACTACTGCCCTCTGTAAATGCAGGAGTGTCAAGACTGTGTCCTGTCTATTTCTATGAGTGTGGTGACTTACACAGGTTTCTGGTACATGGTGGATGTCACTACAGGATTGTCAGAGAATTAGCTAATCTATCCATTGACCAGTTGACCCAATGGTGTACAATGGTCAACCCAGGGAGGTGTGAAATGCCCAGTAGGGGAGATAGGACATTGGGCAGGGAGGAAGAAGATGGCAATGGCAGAGAGGCAGATAAGCAGAGACATCTGTTAGGCTTGGGTGAACTGACTTTACAGTTTCTACTATAATTGACTTGCTCATCTTGATGTGCTCTGAGATCAAAGCATTTTAGAACATCTTTGGAAAGAATCACAGTCAACTGGTTACTATAGTTGTTTTGAGAAGAGAATGTGGGAGCCATGTACGGAGAGAAAAATGATTCATTTTCCACTCTGTTTTGCCTGTACCTCTTTATTTCATACCAGGCACGTGTATATACAAAATACAGTATAACATGTATGTCTTCATTATTATCTCTTACTATGATTTCTGATAACAGTATGTGAGATGAAGCCTCACTGTTTTTGCTGTAAGAACACCTTGGTTGTGCTTAATGCACCACAGACTTGTTTGTTCTACGGGGTATTAAATACGTTTCACCAACACCACAATTCAAAGGGATCAATTTTGTCATCCTTTTTCACTGTCCAACTTTCAACCACATAATAAGCAAATGAAAATCCCATGGCTTGGATCAAGCATACCTTAATCTTTAAACTGACCTCCTTACTCAGGAGGGGCCAGGCTTTGGGAAAAGACATGGCACTGGGAAATGCAGAAAGAAATGTATTGAAAGAGAGGAAGACCAGAACAAGATGAGTTGACACAGGTGACTGTAATCATGGACTTGATCATGAAGTTGGCCCAGGAGAGAGCAAGGGTCTGATCTATTATTCAGAGGGTTGCTGTGAATTGTAGTCAGCTCAACTGCATCTAAAAACCATATTGTGATTCCTAGCTAGGGCACCCATGGGCAAACACCACCTGTCTCTCAGTGGGGATTTGTTTATTGCTATGATGCTGAACAAGTTTAAATGGAGCTCTCAGACTAAGAGGAGGAAGAAAGGTCTAATGATTGGCTGCCAAAAATCAAGCAATGGAAACCCAGTGGATCCCAGTGGGCTGACTCATAATCAAACATAGACAAGATGCAGGGCCAGGTGGCATTTTGCTCCAAGGTACATGAGGTCGTCAGAAATTGGAGGGCTGGCTCAATGCCAACTAGTAATTGTGTAATCTTACATTTTATTGTGCTGTATCAATCATACATACTTATTTATATATGATTTATATAAATTCTAAAAGAAATAATTGTGTTTCTTCCTAGACACTCATTCACTCATTGCCTTTGATCTAGATCTGACTCAGAACAAGTTTTCAAATCACACTGGATTTTCATAGGCACACCTGAGTAAAAGATCAATTTTTCTTGGCTTTCCAGGAAACTTCAGCTGAGCGTGTCCCAGTCCCTCTGAGGAGGGACAGTGGAGACACTGTACTCTCCCAAGGGAGCAGGGATACAAAGATATAGCTCCCGTGGGGATATGTATCAGTGAGATGGGCGTCCAGCACACGTGGTCACCTGAGTTGATCTCTCTTCCTTTTTACAGGACGAGAAGAATCAGGTGTTGACCACCTACATCTGGTACCGGCAGGTGAGCAGATCAGTCCATCTCCTGGCATTGGAGTTTATTTATCCAGACAGAATTCCTCTGCCAGCAGGAAGTTGGGAATCTCAGGGTTTGGTGAGAGGCACTCTCAGTGCCAGATCCAGGAGTCAAGACCCTTTGACCTCAGGACTGGAGATAGACGGAAGCCTGACTGACGCCCCTGGAGGAGAATCTCTAAAGCTTCTGCTGCTGGGTTTCTCATCGAGTTCCAGACAAGGAATTGATACCAAGGGCACAGAATAGACACGGGCCCTGCCTGCAGTGAGTGCACAGACGAGGGCAGGCAAAGACTTGCAAAGAGATAATTGAAATGCAACAGCGCAGCATGTCCAGTGGGGACAACGCACAAGCAACGGGGGTGCAGAGCAGGCACAGGTGGGAATCGGGGACCTGACACCTTTCCTGGAGGAGAGAACTGACAGAAGCCTTGGTTACATCCCTATGAATAATGAGGCAAAGAAGTCAGGCATTGCAGCAGGGAAGGGGAGTGTAGGCCAAGATGTAGAGGTTTCAATAGGATTTACATATGCACACCCCCAAGAAGTTATCTAAAACACTCAGCTTTTAGATAAAGGAGTCAGAGCATCAGGAAGGATGAAACACCTTTCCTCCCTAGGAGAGGCTACCTCTGTCTATATGGCAGGGAGTATGTGAATTACTGAGTTGGGGGCCTCTGAGTTATTGATCAGGAACTCAGTGGCCTAGTGCATCATGTGTTGTGCTGCTAACTGAAAGATCAGAAGTTTGAATCCACCAGCTACTCTGAGGGAGAAAGACGGGCAATTTTCCTTCCACAAAGATTTACGAATGTGGAAACCCAATGGGCAATCACCGTGCATCAGGGTCCACTCAGCAGGAACGGGTGGACTGGGTGCCTCGGCTCAGTCACTGCTCTGTGATTGAGTGACACCCAGGTTTTCCCAGGGCGCCTCCTTTGGCTTGGGCACTGCAGGGTGAAAGTAATAGGAGTTAAACTGGCCTCTGTCTTGGACGTGGGGTTTCCTGTGACCATGCTTACTCCTCCCCTAGTGCTGGATTGATGAGTTTCTGCAGTGGAACCCCGAGGACTTTGACAATGTCACCAAGTTGTCCATCCCCACTGACAGCATCTGGGTCCCGGATATTCTCATCAATGAGTTGTGAGTATTCTCATCCCATGCTGGGTGGCCAGCTGAGCTAAAGGCTGAAGCAGGTGACGGGGCTGGAGCAGGTGGTGGGAGACAAGATCCCTGCCTCTGCATTTGAGATGTTCCATCTACATGTGCAGAGCTACAGCAGAAGGTGACCCAAGTTCTCCTTCATCATTTCTCCCTTTTGTTTTCCTTTTGAAAACTCCTTATCCACTATGCCTGATGTTAAAACTAGAAGCTCTTGGTCCAGGAGTCCCCTGTTGCAGGGAAATGGAAGCCCATGAGTGAGTTCATCCTGACCTGTAACACATGAACCAGACACACAACTGACTTGACTGGGTTTCCTGGGGTGCAAATTGCATGGGAGGAGATTCCTTCCTCAAAACAAGACAGCTGTATTTTTTTAAAAAAGTCAATGGGCCACTTAACCATCACAGCCTGGTCACAGAGGAGGTTTGGAGCTCAAATCTCTCAAGTTACACAAGTGTTCGACCAGCCACGACCCCAACCTGCCTTTACTCCCAGAGCCAATGCTGTCTTACTTGGTCCCATTCATCACACCTTCTTGAAGTTCCTTCAGGCTCCATTGCTTGGGCTACTGAGTTCACAGCTGGGGAAGTTGGCAGAAGTGACTGGGAAACAGAAGGTGGAAAGGGTTCATTCCTAATACTTTCTGCACTGTCCAATCCCAGGGGGCATTACTAACATTGCTTTATAGGTGACTGGAGGAGTTCTGGGACACTCACTTCTGCCTGAATCTCTAGTTTAAACTGAAATAGCTTCAGACTTGGCTTCTCCGCCATGAGCCTATTTCCACAGGAATCAGCAGGCTGTAGACCCCAAACCTCACCCGCTTTGTGCCTCATTGGTTGTGGGGAGAGGGTAAGAATAAAAAGTCAACAAGAGTGGAATGAGATCTTACGGGACAATTCTGGTGGCATAATCCACAGGGAGTCGCACTCCTACCCCAAAGGTGGCACCTCTCTGGCTGTTCAAATCCACCAGCAGCTCCTTGGGAGAAAGATGGACAATCTCCTCCTGTGTGATTTACAGCCCTGGAAACCCAAGGGAGGGTCAGCTATGTGTCAACTCTGATATGAGGACAATGAGTTTTCTAAGAGACCTTTCTGACCTCCCCCAGTTCTTTTCAATGATTTCTCTACTTCCTTTTCCCTTCAGAGTTGACTATTTATATTTCACAAGGATTTCTGGGGATAGGAAGAAAAGAGAAGCCAGAAGTGGGACGGCGCTCAAGGCTCTGCCCTCTCACCAAGTGGGCCCTTCTGTCTGAGCTATGATCCCAGAAGCCACTGTGTCCAGCCTCAGGGGGCAACAGTGTGGGGACAGCTGAGCACCCACCCCAAGACCTGTGGTTTGAGGCTTTAAGTGTCTTGTCCTGCCTTTCTGCAGCTGTGGTGCAAGAATCAGAAAAGAAAAAAAAAATAAGAAACAGCTTCTATTGCTTTGAAAGTAGTCATGACAGTGGCAAGAAAAGCTATGAAAGGTAGACAGGAAAGTTGGAAACATTGGAGCCAGACAGAATTAGCCACGTTGTTCTACTGCCTAAACTCTCTTTGCATTATTTTCTCTGCTGGGCTTCCCTGCAGACACCTTCAGACCCCCAGGATTAGCTCAAGAGGCTCCTTCCTGAGTCTCCAATCTGACCTCTCTTTCCCTGGCCAGTGTGGATGTGGGGAAGTCTCCAAATATCCCGTACGTGTACGTGCAGCAAGATGGTAGTGTCCACAACTATAAGCCCCTCCAGGTGGTGACCTCCTGCAGCCTCGACATCTACAACTTCCCCTTCGACGTTCAGAATTGCTCCCTGACCTTCACCAGCTGGCTGCACACCAGTGAGTAAAAGAGCTTCAGGGGTGGGGGTGCTGTGTGGGGGCTCCGCTGGACATCCCGGTGAGGAGCATGGATGCCTTTGCATCTAACCAGTTGTTGTTAGCTGAAATTGGCATGTCTCTTGGTGACCCCGTATACACCAGAACTAAACGTTGCTAAGTCCTGAAGCATCTTGACTGTCAGTCATTTGAGCCTATTATTTTGGCTATTGTAGAATGCCATTGGGAATGCTGATAGTGTAATCAGGAAAGCATTGCACCACTAACCCAAATGTTAACTTACCAGCAGTTCCTCCAGAGAAAGATGAGCAATCTCTTTCTGTGAGATTTACAGTCTTAGAATACCCACCGGAGGGTCAGCAATGAGTTGGTTCCAATCCGACAGCAATGGGTTGAGTTTTTTTGTGTTGTGTCTTCTGACCTAGGGGGAATACAATGCCATCTCCTGGCATTTTATCAGGCAATGTTCTACTATGATATGTATGGGTTTTGGTTGGCTAGTTAACAGTTTTAGTTTACTTGGTTCCACAGTCAACACTCTCAGTAACAGCAGCCAGGAAATCAAGAGATGAACTGCATTGGGAAAATCAGCTGTGAGGGACTTCTCAAGAGTACTAAAGAGCAACAATGTCAGGCTGGAGACTAAGATGAGCCTGATCCCGGCTATATAGTTTTTGCAATTACATGCTATGCATTGGAGAGTTGGACAGTGAATAGGGATGATAGAAAGAGAATCGATGCCTTGAAGCTGTGGAGCTGGAGAAGAGTGTTGAATATACCATGGACTCTAGGAGAACAAAGAGGTTTGTCCTGGAGAGGGTGAAACCAGAATGCTCCTCGGAGTCAAGGATTCTGAATCTTCATCTGACATACTTTGGGCATGTTGCAAGGAGGGACTGGTCCTTGGAGAGAGACATTATGTTTGGGAGGGTGGAGGGATGGCGAAGGAGAGGAAACCCCTCGATGAGATGGATCGATTCTGTGGCTGAAGTGGTGGGAATGAATGTGTTTGAGACTGCAAGGTTGGCACAGGATAGAACGGCATTTAGGGCTCTTGTACATAGGGTCTCTATGAGTCGCAAGCGACTTGATGGCGCATAACAATAAACAACAACAATTTCTGGAAATAGATCACCAGTCCTTTCTTGTGATTCTTAGTCGTAGAAGCTCTGCTGTACCTGTTCAGTGTGGGGATGCTGTTGGCATTACTTATAGCATTATAATAACATGCAAACATAAGCATGCAAACACAACAATATGCAAGCAAAAAAAACCCAAACACACCTAAAATCATATAACAAACTGACAGGCAGAGGTGGTTAACCAACTTACTTAACACCTGTTTTCTTGAGGTTGCCGAGCCTCTCTGTTTCCTCATCCTCCTCAGGGAGTTGGTACTGATGCCCATGCACTCACCCAAGTCATCAGGATTTAATAAGAAATGTGAGGAGCAATCTGTTTCCACAACCACAAACAGGGTCTGACACTCAAAGTTTCTCAAACCTACCCACTTTAACCATCTTCCCTGCCACCCCCCTAATTCAAGCCAGCCTCATCTCTTGCCTATTTTTTTTCAATAACCTCTAACTTCCATATTCATTTTCTTCCCTCACAGTAGCCAGAGAGATCTTATTATAATGCAAATCTGATCAGATCACTCTCTGTTAAACCCTTGATGGCTTCCCAGCACTCCTGGGATACCATCCAAACCCAAGAGCTGGGCAGTAGGGCCCTGCCGCCACCCACCACCCCAGCCTCAGCTGTGCACACTCCCCACAGCCTGCTCCAGCCAACTCTTGGCCGTTGCAGACTGAAAACTTGCTTTTCTTTCCTCTTCTCACATGTTTATTTCTCCTCTAGGAGACCTTGCCCCCTCCAATTTCTCTCTTCCCCTTCTCTCAAGTTATTTCTAGTCTGGCCAACTCTCTTAGATTGGATTCTCTAGAAGAAGACCAGTGAAATTTAAACAGCTTCTATCTATCTATATCTATCTATCTATCTATCTATCTATCTATCTATCTATCTATCTATCTATCTATCTCTTTATATCAAAGAAGTTACTTACTTGCAGAACCCGGCAAGTCTCAAGCCCAAGTATCAGATGACAGTCTAGAGGCTTCTCTTGACCCATGTTGTTACAGAGTCTGATGAACCCAAGCCAAGCAGGTCAGACAGCAGGCTGACATGTAAGGATGTCAAATCCAAGATCAACAAGCAATATGGCAGGCAAGCGAGAAGATGATGAGATAGATGCAGGATCAACCTTCTAATCACAGCATAGCAAGCAGTGATTCAGGGATATCACCTCCTGGTCCCAAGACTGGGCCATCCCCGCTACTAATGTTCTCCTTCCCACCTCTATCACACTTGTAAGTACTTGTTCAATGTCTGCATCTCTACTAGATATAAACTTAGTAGATATCTCATCGCTACATCTCTACTAGATTTTCTGACTCACTTTGGATCCCTAACATAGTACTTGGCACAAAGGGTACAGCTGGGCAAATTCAATTCTGATTGAGGAAATTGAATCCTAGCTGTTCACGACTGGTTCAGTGACCTTCCTCTAAAAAGTACCTTCCAGCTCTAGTGACTTAGAGGTAAGGAACTGCACAGCCAACCCCAAAGTATGTGGCTCAAATCCACCAGCTGCTCTGCAGGATAAAGATGGGTGATCTCCTGTGTGACTGACTGCTTCTGAAAACCCACTGGAGAGGCAGCTATGGACTGCTTCCTACTCAAGAGTACACAACAATAACATTTTCATTCCTATTTTATTCTTCAATTAACTTTAAATTACAGGGATAATAATAATTTTCTTGAGCAAAAACCATAATTAAGACTATAGTTGCCTTTGACCTCTGGCTTCAATCCCAAGCTCTTCACCAAGAGCTTGGCCACACCAAGTGTTAGCCACGTTGACTGGTATAAACTTCTTACAGTGTGTTCTTCCAGGTCCTTCTCTGTGAATTTCTATTTCCAGATGTATCTCAGTGCATAAACACACATGTGCACACCCCGACCTGTGGGAATTGTATGGACATTGTTTTATGAGGTTTTTCTCTTACTTAAGTGTATCATTTTGTGTGTACTATGATAGACTGCTGCTTGCTTTATTTAACTCAACACGAGATCTGGGATATGTTTCTATGTTATCATCCCCATCAATTTTAACTGCTATTAAATCAGTCACAATAATATGCTGAGCATTTTCCTAATTAACAGACGGTTCAATCTTGCCCAATGTTCTGCTGTAATGGATACCCTCTGTATTTCCAGGTGTGGATGCATGTCTGCTTCTCCAGCACAAATACAGGGAAGCAGAACTTTGAGGAATTTGCTTATTTTCTGAAGGCACCTTTAAGGACAGGAAATTCTACTAAGGCAAAGATGGAGAATATTCACTTCCATGATGGGCAATTCATGGACTGTCAAAAGAGCAAACATCTTTGTCTCGGAAAAAGTGCAACCAGAGTGCTCCTTGGAGGCAAAGAGGGTGAAGCTTTGTCCTTCATACTCTGGATGTGTAGCTAGGTGAGGTTACCTCTTGGAAGAGTTTATCATACTTGGAAATTGGAGAATCAGCAAAGGAGAGAAAGACCCTCAGTGAGGTGGATTGACATGTTAACTTCAGCAATGGGCTCTAGTGTGTCTGGGATGGTGGGGCTGGCACAGGATAGAGCAGGGTTCAGGTCAGCTGTTCCCAGGGTCACAATGAGTCGTACGCAACTCAATGGCACCTAACAACAACAACAACAACAATAGGGAACCCAAGCAAGGTGTTCAGAAGGGGTGTGTTGTGTATGTGTGTGAGAGAAAAACACATAGAGACACCAACAAAAACATAGACACAAAGAGAAATAGAAGGCTTTCTGGGCTATGCTTTGTGTGGGCCTTTGCATTTTGCCAGATGTTTTCACTGAAGGCTTCATCTGTCCTCAGTACAGCCCCACAAGGCAGGTATGATGTGTAACATTGCTCTTTATATGTGTATATATATGATAAATACACCTAATGTAAGATTTTTCAGGACGACTTAAAACCTCTCAGGGAATTACAACAATGGTGACAGAAAGTCAGTATTTCTAGTTCTTTTTCTTTTTTTAAAAAAATTATTTGTTTATACCATCATTCATTTTTACACAATTTCATTCATATATATTTTGTTTCATGCAATAATTTCTGTATATTGCATTTTATATCATTAATTACTATGGATTGATTCATTTTATAGCTGAGGAAACTGAGGGTGAATATTAAAAGCTGAGACCTGAACTCTCACCTGACATCAAAGCCCTTGATTGTTCCTCCATCTCCTACTCCTTCCAACCCCCACCCCTGTTCCACTGTTAAGGTCTGGCCTGCAGCTGCGACTAGATACTCAAACTAATTTACTTCTTTGCTTTCTCAGTCAAAGACATCAACATGTCCCTGTGGCGCAAACCGGAGAAGGTGAAGTATGACCGGAGTGTCTTCATGAACCAGGGCGAGTGGGAGCTCTTGGGGGTCCTGACGCAGTTCCAGGAGTTCAGCATCGAAGGCAGCGAGTGCTACGCTGAAATGAAGTTCTATGTGAGTGGGCCTGGGAGGGAATGTGGGTAAAGTGATGAATAATGCTCACTAGCCTTCCCCTCCCCCTCACCAGGTAAACATCAGAATAAAACCAAACCAAGAACACAGCTGAGGAATTGATTCTCATCCCACAGGACTGAGTAAAAATAGCCTCTAGAGTTTCCCCAAATAGTAATGTTTATGGGAGCAGATCGTCACTTCTCTCTCCATAAAGCAGCTAGTAAGTTCAGAGTACTGACCTTGCAGGTAACAACCAAGCACCTAACCCCTACCCCACCAGTAGTCTCTGGTAGTCTGAACTACTCAATTCATTGCTGTGAGTCAGGACCAACCAGCCCAGTATATAACCAGCAGTTATCTATCACACAGGAGGAGACTGCTCACCTTCTCTCTCTGAGCAGCTAGTTATTAGGACCACCAGGAAGATACCCGCTTAGGGCTAGTATCTCAGCTCCCCTAGGACTACAGCGCCAAGAGCTGCTCAGGTGGCCTTATGTGTTGTTGGTAGGAGCCATTGAGTTGACACGGACTCCTGGTGATGCTATGAGCAACATATCTGAACCTGGCCTATTCCCCCGCCATCCTCACAATCTCTGATATGCTCCTGTCCACTGTTACAGTCACTGTGTCAATCCATCTGTTAGGGGTCTTGCTCTGACTTTCCGTCTCTCCCAGCGTGCTGCACTTTCCCACGGGCTGGGCCCTCTTGACAACATGCCCAAAGGATGTGAAACTAGGTTTCACCGTCCTTGCCTTCCAGGAGTATCCTGGTTGTGCTTTCTCCAAGACAGACCTGTTTATTCTTTGGCAGTCCATGGGATAGTCAGCATTCTTCTCCAGCACTACAATCCAAAGGCATCTGTTCTTCTTCTGTCATCCTTGTTCATTGTCCAACTTTCAAATACATATGAAGTAGTTGAAAAGACCTTGGTTTCTTTAGCTCTTTCCCAACCCTGAAATTACACAAATCCCCCTGGAGCTTCAACAAAGTGTATAGAGAAACCTCAGCTGACTGTCCCTTCACCTATCCTGAACTGCAACAAATCTTTCCAATAGCCTGAATCCAGAAGCAGACAATGGGGCTGTCCTGTTCTCTGGGCAACCTAGGCTGACAGCTCTTGCAAACGGGGGAGTGTGGAACAGGAGTGGCTTTGGGGTGCAGGGTCTGTCTGCTCTCCCGTCCCAGGTGGTCATCCGCCGGCGGCCCCTCTTCTATGCGGTCAGCCTCCTTCTGCCCAGCATCTTCCTCATGGTCATGGACATCGTGGGCTTCTACCTGCCCCCGGACAGCGGAGAAAGGGTCTCCTTCAAGATCACACTCCTCCTGGGCTACTCCGTCTTCCTGATCATTGTGTCAGACACCTTGCCAGCCACAGCCATCGGCACGCCCCTCATCGGTGAGACCCCTCCTGGGGGCGGAGCCCAGTGTGGCAAAGGGGACACCCTGCCCACTCCCTGCGTGTCTCTTCCCTGGTGTGTACAGGTGTCTACTTCGTCGTGTGCATGGCTCTGCTGGTGATAAGCTTGGCTGAGACCATCTTCATTGTGCGGCTAGTGCACAAGCAAGACCTGCAGCAGCCGGTGCCCGCCTGGCTGCGGCGCCTGGTTCTGGAGAGGATCACGGTGCTGCTCTGCCTGGGGGACCAGGCCGCTTCCCCACGGCTCTCCGCCTCCAATCAAGCCCCCAACATCAATGACTGCTCAGGTGAGAGCGGGACAGCTGGGACAACCAGGAGTGTAGTGTCCACCTCTCCCCTGGATCTAGAGCTGCTGGAGTCGTGTGTGTGTGTGTGTGTGTGTGTGTGTGTGATGCTGAAAAGCTTATGTTGTGGTGGTGGTTGTTAGGTGCCAAGGCAAGTACAACTCATAGCGACCCTGTGAACAACAGATCTGAATTCTGTCCTTTCATGGGTCATCCTCACAATCTCTGACACACACAAGCCCATTGCTGCAGTCACTGTGTCAGTCCACCTGGTTGAGGGTCTCCCTCTCTATCACCACCCCTTCACCCTCTCGAGCATGATATCTCTCTTTAAAGAATAACCTACATTAGAAACTTGCCTAAAGTATGCGAGATGAAGCTTCATCACCTTTGCCTCCAAGGAACACTCTGGCTGCACCTTCTCCAAGACATTCCTGTTTGTTCTTTTGACAGTCCATTGGATTCAGTACTTCTCTCCATCACCACAGCTCAAAGGCATCAACTCTTCTTCTGTCACCCTTACTCATTGCCCAGCTCTCAGATGCATAGCAAGTGACTGAAAAGACCATGCTCTGAATCAGATGCACACCAATCCTCACACTGACATGACTGCTCCTCATAATTTGGAGAGGCCCCTGATTACAGACTAGAGGAGCCTCAGGAGGGCCTAGGATTGGGTTCTGTCCTGTACAAGACACCCCCCACAGTCAGCCTCGGTGGGTGGGACCAGTCTGGACTCTCATATCAGTTTCCATCTGCTCACTGGCCAGCTGTGGAAAAAGGCAGGACAGAAAGCCCAGAAGCTGAGATCACCGGGCTGAGGGGCTCCTCTCTGAGATGGATCCATAAATCAAGGATCAACTTGTCATGGAGTCCAGGCCGGCTCATGGCCACCTCATGTGTTACAGAGCCAAATCGCTCCCCAAGGTTCCCTAGGCTGTAATCTTTAGGAAAACAAGTCCCACGAAGCCACTGTTGTTATTTAGTGGTGTTGAGTTGCCTCCAACACACAGTGACCCTGTGAAGAATGGAACAAACTTACACCCAGTCCTGACCCATTCTTACAGTCTCCGCTGGGCCTAGGCATGTTGTTAAAATCACTGCATCACTCTATCTTGTTGAGGGTCTTCCTTTCTTCCACTAGAGCCACTGGGAGGGCTCAAACCACCAACCTTTAGGTTAGCAGTCCACTATAAAACACTTCAACCTCCCAGTGACTTTACCTCCCAAAGTTAAATATGCAGCCACAATTTCTAAAACCTCTGAACAGTTCAAAGACCAGGCCCCATAGAAATTCAAACACCTGTGAGATGGAAAAGGTAAGTCCAGAGAGACAGTGCATCAGAATCTCTAGCTTCCAGAGTATGTAAAGAAGCTCTGGTCGTTTAGTGGTAAAGAGGGGTGCTGCCAACCCAGAGGCACGTGGTTCAAATCCACCAGCCACTCCCTGGGAGAAAGACAGCCAATCTCCTCCCAGGTAATATACTGTCTCTGAAAGCCCACTGGAGTTTTCAGAGTTATGAGTCAAATCTGACTCAACAGTACACAACAATAGCAAAAAGAACACGCTGGAGAGTCAGCAATGAGCTGGTTTTGACTGGACTGTGCACAACCACAACTTCTGTTTTGGTAGGATGGCATGCATAGGAATCAAGTAGATTACATCTGTGGAAAGACTAGGTGGAGAAGCTCAATATCAGCAGTGAAAACCAGGCCGGGTGCTGATTTGTGGGACAGACCAACTACTCATATGCAAGTTCAAGCTGAAGTTGAGGAAAATTAAATCAAGTCCATGGGAACCAAGATTTGATCTTAAGTCTATCTCACTCGAATTTCAAAACCATCTCAGGAACAGGTTTGAGGCCTTGAGCACCAACGGGTGTAGGCCTAACGAGCTCTGGGAGGATATCAAGAAAATCGTCCATGAAGAATTCAAAAAATCATTACAAAGGCTGAAAAAGAAGAAAAGACCAAGATGGATGTCAGATGAGACTCTGAATATTGCATTAAAGCGCCAAGAAGCCAAAGCTAAAGGAAGAAACCAAGAAATCAAAGAACTAAACAGAAAATTGTAAAAGGCAGCCCAGGACGACAAAGCAAGATACTATAATGAAATGTGCAGAGAGCTGGAGTCAGAAAATCAAAAGGGCGGGACTCACTCAGCGTTTCTTAAGCTGAAGGAGCTGAAAAACAACTTCAAGGCCACAGGTGGCAATACATAAGCATACTTTGGGTAGAATGTTAAATGATCCAGGAAGTATCAAGAGAAGATGGAAGGAATACACAGTCATTGTATCAGAAGGAATTGGCTGACACAGAAGAATTTCATGAAATGACATATGAGCAAGAGCCTATGGTGATGAAGGAGGAAGTTCAAATTGCTCTAAAGGAATTGGCAAAAAACAAGGCTCCAGGAATTGATGGCATACCATTTGACATACTTCAACAGACAGACACTGCCCTGTATGTGCTAAGTTTGCCAAGAAATCTGGAGAACAGCCAGCTGGCCCACTGACTGGAAAAGATCGATATTTGTTCCCATTCCAAAGAAAGGTGACCTAACAGAGTACGGGAATTATTGAACAATATCATTGATATCACATGCAAGCAAGATTCTGCTGAAGATTATCCAAAAATGTTTGGAACAATATGTCAACAGAGAACAGCCAGATGTACAGGCTGGATTTAGAAGAGGTCGTGGTACTAGGGATATTATAGTTAATGTTAGATGGATCTTGGCAGAAAGCAAAGAATACCAGAAGAATGTCTATCTGTGCTTCATTGACTATGCAAAGGCTTTTGACTGTGTGGATCACAACAAGCTGTGGCTGACTCTGAGAAGAATGGGAATCCCAGAACATTTGATTGTGCTAATGCGAAACCTATACTTGGACCAAGAGGCAGTCATCAGAACAGAGCAAGGAGACACTGCATGGTTCAAAATCAAGAAGGGGGTGTGTAAGTGATATATTCTGTCTCCATACCGAGACACTGGGCTGTACGAAGAGGAATGTGGCATCAGGATTGGTGGAAGAGTCATCAACAACCTGCGTTATACAGATGACACAACCCTGCTCACTGAAACTGAGGAGGGCCTGAAGCGCTTGCTACAGAAGGTCAAGGACTGCAGCCACCAATATGGATTGAAGCTCAACATCAAGAAAACTAAGATCCTCACCACTGGCCCAATTGGCAGCATCAGTATGGATGGTGAAGAGATTGAGATAGTTAACAGTTTTAGTTTGCTTGACTCCACAATCAACACTCTTGGTACCAGCAGCCAGGAAATCAAGAGATGAATTGCATTGGGAAAGTCAGCTGTGAGGGACCTCTCAAAAGTACAGAAGAGTAACAACATCAGGCTGGAGCCTAAGGTGTACCTGATCCACGCTGTAGTCTTCGCAATTATGTGCTAGGCATCAGAGAGTTGGACAGTGAATAGGGTTGATAGAAAGAGAATTGATGCCTTTGAGCTGTGGTGCTGGAGAAGAGTGTTGAGTATACCATGGACTGCTAGGAGAACAAACAGGTTTGTCCTGGAGAAGGTAAAGCCGAATGCTCCTTGGAGTCAAGGATTCTGAAGCTTCGTCTGACATACTTTGGGCATGTTGCAAGGAGAGAGCAGCCCTTGGAGAGGGATATCATGTTTGGCAGAGTGAAGGGGCAGCAAAGGAGAGGAAGACCTTCGATGAGATGGATTGATTCTGTGACTGGAGTGGTGGGAATAAGCGTATTTGAGATGGCTAGGTTGGCACAGGATAGAACAGCGTTTAGAGCTCTTGTACATAGGGTCGCTATGAGTCGCAAACAACTCGATGGCCCATAACAAAAACAACAATAGCAAGTGATTTGTTGGTTGATTTGCTGAGCACTTTGGCCAGGTGAGTGCAAAGCACTTTCATGCATTACCGTGGTCATGGTCACCCAATTGGATTTTCTGTTGTTCTCATTTTACAAGTGAATAATTAGAGCCAGGGGCTAATGGCTTGCCTGAAGTCATAGAGCACTTGACTAAACTCCTGCTTTTAACCACCAGCTTTTGCTACTTTCACCCTTTTCCTGGCTAGGGCCAGGCCTGTCCCATGAAACAGTTAGTCTATCTAAGTCCCTCTTATCACGAGCTAGTCAGCAAAACGAGACAGCCTACAGCTTCTGGTTAAGTTCACAGCTCACCTGGTAAAGGCAGTCTAATCTGAAGGTGAGTTTTCTGGGGGGCAGGGACCACTGGCCAGCCTCCTGAAGTATAAGATGTAGTAAAGAGGGCATGAGAGAGGGAGTTCAGTTTCCAGGGTGTGCATGGCCTCACCATTAAGCCACTTAACTTCTCTGAACTTTAGCTTCTTCATATAAAAAGTAGGAATAGTAACCACCTTAATTACACTTTTCTTATGGGGCTGTAATGAAGCTAAAATAAGAATATATAATTTCTGGGGGAAATCCACAGGTTTATAAAACTGAATACACCAAATTTATGATGTTGATGATCTGGGGAGGAAGCAGAGGATGTCACTACGGAGGAATATACAGGTCTATAACTGAAAACGGGTAGGAGCTTTATTTCTTCAGGCTACACTAACCTGGTAATTCAAATCCACCAGCAGTTTCAAGGGAGAAAGATAGGCAATTTTCTCCTGCGTGATTTACAGCCTCTAAAAACCCGCTGGAGGCTCAGCTATGAGTTGGTTCTGATTCAACAGCAATGACAGAGGGTGTGTTTGTTCAAGTCGGATGGTAGATATACAAATCTATAATGTAATTCTTTATTTATTTTAGAGCAGAAATTTTTCATAATAAAAATTCTATGGGCTGTAGGTCCAGAGAGAGCAGTAGTGATTCAGTGGTGGAATTCTCCCTTTCCAAGAGGAGACCAGGCCCAGTTCCGAGCCAATGCACGTCACACTCAGCCACCCTCCACCTGTCAGTGTGGGCTCGCATGTGGTTAACAGCACAGGCTTCAGTGAAGCTTCCAGACTAAGATGAACAAGGAAGGAAGTTGTGGCAATCTGCTTCCAAAAACCAGCCAGTGAAAACCCAGTGGATGACAATAGTCTGGTCTTTAGCTGATGGCACAGGACCGAGCAGAGCTGCTGGGTCATCAAGAGCCAGGGCTGACTGGATGGCAGCTAACGACGACATAAAATGACATAAAAGCAGAGTCAAGGCCTCTTGCCAATGCCTCCTTCTTGTTCCAGCCATGGGAAACCACTGCAGCCACCCAGGAGGACCCCAGGACTTTGACAAGTCCCCGAGGGACAGAGGCAGCCCTCCCCCACCACCCAGGGAGGCCTCGCTGGCCGTTCGGGGGCTGCTGCACGAGCTGTCCACCATCCGCCACTTTCTGGAGAAGCGGGATGAGAGCCGAGAGGTGGCCCGGGACTGGCTGCGCGTGGGCTCTGTGCTAGACAGGCTGCTCTTCCGCATCTACCTGCTGGCCGTGCTGGCCTACAGCATCACGCTGGTCACACTCTGGTCCATCTGGCAGTATTCCTGAGTGGGCACAGCCCAGGAGGAGGTAGGTGTGGGGCTGGCTAGGATGGTGTGCAGGACTTCTGCTCAGGTCCTTCAGGGTCCGGGGGACACTAGGGACATTTCTTCCCATCTCCTCACCTTAGTTTGCAAGATGCAAATCTGTCGCTCATAGGGTCACAAGGAGGAGTCATAATTGACTCCACAGGACCTCACAACAAGAACAACTAGTTTGTTCTGTTTGTAAATTCTGTATCAGTCTCAGGTGGCCTAGTGGGTAAAGGCATTGCACTGCCAACACACAGCCAGGTGATTCAAATCCACCAGCTGCTCTGTGAGAGAAAGATGCACAGTCTCCTCCTGTGTGATTTACAGCCTCTGAAAACCTGCTGGAGGATCAGCTGTGAATTAATCGGTTCCAATTTGACAGTGCATAACAACATTTATATCTCTGCATCTGTCTGTTTCTCTCTCTCTAGATATATAGAAATAGAGACAGATACAGATATAGATAGATATATATTACATTTTCAACTGAAGTATGCATATCAAAATAGGACCCATTCAATAGTTTCTACACATAGTATTCAAATATAGTCTTCCCATTGTATCAACATTCTTATTCTTTCTGTCTTACTTACTCCATCCCATAACCTTATTCTCACAGTGCCCACTATGCTTGAGGATATTTGCTGATCATTTCAGGGGCCTTCTTAAGATGCATGTGTAGTCCTTCCCCTGACCTGATTCCAGTGCCTGCTCTTCTCAGTAATCTAGACTCAGGGATCCTTCCCCCAAGAACTTGGTGTTTAAAAGTCTTCCATCCCTTTCCCATAAGCCTCAGTTCCCCTAACACTTCCTTAAATAAGGAGTATTGGAATTCTGCTCAACTCTCCCTCCTTGTTTTCAGATGGAAGGCAAAACCAGCTCTACTCTGTGCCCCTGATAGCTCTGCATTTGGTCCATCCAGACCTCTGATGTCTTCTCTCCTTCTTCACTTCACCTGTGGCCACGCCCCTCAGCATTCCTGCCTCCACCATCAGATGGCAGGGATGGTGCTGTAATAAAATGTGACAAAGCTGTGTGCACTTTCCTTGACTTCTTGTCTTCAGTTTTGAGAAAAGCCTAGGTGGGTAGAAGAGGAAGTTTACAGTTACAAGTAGAAATGAGGTTTAGGAATTATCTGTGGCTTCCATTGTCTGGTGCTCCCCAGTGTACCAGGGAATTCTTATTGTTTGCTGTCAAGTCAGAACAGCCCACAGCTGACCCTCCAGCAGGTTTTCAGAAGTAGTTAATTACACAGGAGCAGACTGCCCATCTTTCTCCCATGCAGCAGCTGGTGGATTTGACATGCCTTTAGGTTGGCAGCCCAATTCTTTACCACCATGGCACCAGAGTACCAAGGAATGGGAGCTGGTAAAATGGGGCTGTCCTGAAGCACGGCAGTGGGATTTAAAGTATGCAATACTGGACCAGGCCATTTAGCAGGAGGGGGATACGCAGTCCTCTGATACCCTAGAAAGATGATGGAGAGGGAGTACATAATCTTTTGTCTGGTTTCCTGATGATTGAGTGAAGCAGGAAGCCCACTCGCTGCCTACAAGCAACTACCCAGCTGAGCCCTAAAAGGAGCCTGCAAAGGAGACAGGAATATCAGCACCATGGCCAGCACCCACTGACTTGGAAAAAGACCAAGGCTTGATTTACTACTTAGCAGCCACAAGAAAGCAAGAGAACAAGGGTGGCCAAATCTTCCTCCTCATATACTGGTTCCCCCTCTTCGGCTAATGAGGCCTGCACCACTTCTGTCACATGGAGCAAGTCTGGAGGGAAGGAAAGTCAGAAGCCCCTTGGGCCACCGCCTGCCTCATCCCCCTCAGTGTAGGGTCAGCTTCCCTCCAGCTTCCTCTCTCTCCTTCTATTTTTACCCCTTTCCTTGTCTTGAGCACCTGTCACTTTGAGGAAGACGTGGAAGAGTCATGTGCCATCGAGTGAGAATATTGCCAGGCTAAAAGGAAACAGACCCAAAGTCATACAGGATAAATGAGTCCTAGCAGTTCCACAGCCTCCACAGAGCTTATTGTGGGAAGCCTGAACCCATATCTTCCCACACACCCTACAATTCTAGCTGGTGGACAATCCCAGAGTCTAGAGAGGGGACTGAAAGGCTAAGGACACCGACTTCTCTTGGCTTCTTCTCACTCCAGCTTCTCCAACGTGCCCCAAAAACTCATTAGATAGAATGAATTTTCACCTGCTACCTCCACCTCAGACATTTGTACTTTTGATATTAGTTAAAACGGGACCAATCACCCCTGGCCTGGACTTGGTTTTGACTTATTGCCAGCTTGTAGGACAGAGCAGAGCTGCCTCACAGCATTTCTGGGACTGTCAGCCTTTATGGAAGCAGACGGCCTCATCTTTCTTCCATGGGCTTGGTGGGTTCAAACCACTGACCTTTTAGGTTATCAGCCTGACTTTTAACCTACAGTGCCATCAGGACTCTGTGATAGGTGCCCTGCATCTATCTTGCTTTGCTGATGAATCAGGGTTTCCCGGTAAAGTGCAGCAAATGGAGGAGATGGAGATTGGCCTCACTCACAAGTGTTGTCTTCTGATGAGGAGGACTGGACTGAAGAAAAAGACAGTTCATCTAACCTCAGGGTGGCCCCTACTTGTCCACACCTTGGTCTTGTCTTGGGGCCAACAGCTACCTCATTCTATTAGAGTCCTGGCTGGGCCAGTCATGCTATTAGGTGACGATCATTTCTCAATTCACGGCCATGGAAAGGTGGACAGTCTGGGCCTGTCAACACACCACTGGTCATTAAGTGGGTGGTTATTGACAAAGTGTCCAACCAGAGAGCTAGTAAGACACTAATCAACCTATTGATTCCTCATCTCCCCCTCCCCACCCTTCGTCCACAATCAATGGTGCGACAGAGCCCAGCATTGAGGCCGCCAATTAACCACCTCGTGAGTGAGCCGCTACATGTAACATCTCCTGCTCCACTAGCCACGTCCAATCAGCACATCGATCCAGCATCCAGTCTGTCTTGCCCAGACTTGGGAAACTGAGGCAAAGGCAGAGGACCTCCCCTGAGCATCCACTCTAATAACACCCAGTCCACTGGTGCTGACCTTAGTCTTCCCTCAAGGAGACCTTGACTCTGCCTGACGGCTGAGGGTTGAGGGCACCCAGAAGTGCCTTCCCACTTATTATGACTCCTGGAACCGGCCATGTTGGCTCACTTCATGTTCAGCCATAAATAGAAAGAGGAAACCAGAAACAACCCATATCAGCACCTCTCAGAGTTTGCTGGTTCTCCTCCTCTCTGTCAGATTACTTGACAAGCAGGGTAAGTATTTGTGGGTGCCATGGTGCCTGCCTCCTAGTCTGTAGTAACAACTGTGATATGCTCTCCTCAGACTATAAAATTGAAAAAGGCTTCTGATGCTACAGGAAGGTGCTAAGGGGTTGGGAGATCAACAGATGGGAGCTATTTCTAGTCTATAAGGTGAAAAATTGTGGAATTGTCCACTCTAGTAAGTTTGTGCATCCTCTGCTTAGTGGTTCATCTGATGCTGCCCCCATCACCTACACGCTTACTCCACCTCCTTCCTTGTTCTACAGGGAGGACTCCCAGTTCTGATCTCTGCTCCTCCACTCAGCATTCCCAAGCCTGTCATCACTACTAAAAATATTCCACTGCAAATTTGGAAAATGCCCAGCCTGAATTCCTCAAGCTCTCTGAACCCCTAGACTTTACTGCTCCACTCATGAACCTTGTGGTGCAGTTGTGAAACCCTCAGCTGGTAACTGAAAGGTTAGTGGTTCAAACTTACTCAGTGGTGCTGAGGAAGAAAGACCTGGTGATCCCCTGTATTGATTATATCCTAGAAAACCTCCAGGGCAAGTCTCCTGTGTCTCATGTGGTTACTAAGAGTAAAAAAAAAAAAACCTCAAGGTCACCTAAAAAGAAAAGTAACACAGCCCCACGCCCTGCATTCTGCTGTGGGCTTCCCTTTGGTTAGGTGTCTAATGTGCCACCATTTCTATGAATACATGTATTCATTAGGGAAGCAGAGAGTACCAGAGGAATGTCTACCTGTGTTTCATTGACTATGTAAAGGCATTTGACTGTGGATCACAACAAACTATGGCTGAATCTGAGAAGAATGGGAATCCTAGAACACTTGATTATGCTTATGAAAAACCCACACTTAAACCAGGAGGCAGTTATCAGAACAGAGCAAGGAAACATGCATGGCTCAAACTTGGAATGAGTGTACACCAGAAATGTGTCCTATCTCTATAACTTTTCAATCTATATACAGAACAGATTATTCAGGAGACTGGGATCTATGAGGGAAAACGTGTCATCAGGGTAAGAAGAAGACTCATCAACAATCTGGGTTATTCAGGTGACACAACCCTGTTTCCTGAAAGGACCCGAAGCGCTTGCTGTAGAAGGTCAAAGAGTACAGCCTTCAGTAAGAATTGAAGCTCAAAATCAAGAAAACAAAGAATCTCACCACTGGGCCAATTGGCAGCATCATGATAGATGGTGAAAAGATTGAGATTAAGGACTTTAGTTTCCGTGGCTCCACAATCAGCACTCTTCTAGGTACCAGCAGCCAGGAAATTAAAAGATGAATTGCATTGGGAAAGTCAGCTGTCAGAGACCTCTCCAAAGTACTGAAGACCACAATGTCAGTCTGGAGACTAAGGTGCACCTGATCCTGACCATAGTCTTTGCAATTACTTGCTATGCATCAGAAAATTGGACAATGACTAGGGATGACAGAAGGAGAATTGATGCCTTTGAGCTGTGATGCTGGAGAAAAGTATTGAATATAAAATGGACTGCTAGGAGAACAAACAGGTTCGTCCTGGAGAAGGTGAAACCAGGCTTGGAGGCAAGGATTCTGATGTTTTGTCTGACATACTTTGAACATGTTGCAAGGAGGGACCAGTCCTTGGAGAGGAACGTCATGAGTGGGAGGCTGGAGGGACAGTGCAGGAGAGGAAGACTCTTGATGAGATGGATTGATTTAGTGACTGGAGTAATGGGAGTAGGTGTGTCAGAGACAAGAAGATTGGTGTAGGACAGGGCAGGGTTTA